AATGAACTGTAAATACAAAAAAGTTTCGTTTTGTCGTTACCTCTAAAGTGATATTTTTTTCAAATTTGATTGTTCGACTGTTGTTTCTTTTTGCTTTAAGGCAATAGTAATAGAATCATACCACTACGAGATCTCAGGAAATAGGTCTTCAAAGTTTTCAATTTTTATCTTCGAAACTAAACGTCTTATAAAAAAACTGTACATACAAAAAAGTTTCATTCTTTCATCCTCTATAAGATTATATTTTTTTCAAATTCCCCAAATAAGTAATTGTCAACTAACGATGCATTCACATTCACCATTGCAAATGTAATGGAATCCAGGGAAAACGGTTCTTCCAAGTTTTGAATTTTTATCTCCGAAACTAAACGTCGTATGAAAAAATTGTACATACAAAAAAGTTTCGTTTTGTCATTACCTATAAAGTGATATTTTTTTCAAATTCGATTGTTCGACTGTTGTTTCTTTTTTCTTTAAGACAACAGTAATGGGATTAGACCACTGCGAGATCTCAGGAAATAGGTCTCTAAGTTTTCAATTTTTATCTCCGAAACTAAACGTCGTACGAATGAACTGTACATACAAAAAAGTTGCGTCTTATCGTTCCCTATAAGCTGATATATTTTTTACAAATTCACACCTCTTCCATCTCAGAATTTCCAACAAAAATCGTCGCGCAATCAGAGGGTTAACCTCATAATTTTCGCTAATCTGTGCACAGTAACGCCCAAAGCAAGGTAAAAAGTCAGCTGGTCGTTGCAGCCTCGAGCGGTTTTCTTGGCAAACGATTAAAGAATCGTTAATTAACATTTGCTTGCTAAAGCGTCGAGATCGTCTCGGTGGATCTTCGAGGCGTCCGGTTGCAACGGAAACGCGGAAATCATTCTCGACAGTATCGTGCGTCGGTAGTTTTCCGATCGAACCTATCTAGCTGCACATTCAATTTCGCAATTATGCAATCGCGATCACACGCATGACTACGCGAGCGTGCGCCGCGCCGACGGATCACCGATCTATCGGGCTTTCATCGAGACTTTCGAAAATTTTATTAATTAACCGACCTGGCTTGCACCGCGATACTTTCACGGCACGTCGGTGCGCGATACTTGAATCACAGAATTAGAAATAACAATGTTTTACGACGGGTATGAATTTTGTAATCAGCCGATTCATGTTCGTTGGACGTTTGTAAAGAGCAAGATTGAATAAGATATCTCGTAAAAATTGCGTGATTGAGTTAA